CAGCGCGGGCGGCCCTGCCGCCGACTCGCGGCTCTCGGATCGCGGGCCCTTCCTGGCCAGCTTCCTCCTCAGCAGCGAGTCGAGCAGAGGCGGGTTCTGCTCCCCGCGGGGAGCGCGGTCCTGCTCGCAGGTGCTACGGGACTTGCGCAGACCCGGCGGCGCGGCGGGCTCCCGGAGGCTGGCGCTGGGCAGCCTGGCGCTGAGCAGCCGGCGGCGGGAGGAGCCCCCGGGCAGGCTGCCGCGGGCCGGGGAGCCCGAGTCCCGGGAGTGCTGGCGGGTCAGGGCCTCGGGGAACTCGGCCAGGTACTTCATGAAGGAGCGGCCCAGGCCCTGGCGCCAGCTGCCTCGCTTTTTGCGCAGGTGCGGGTTGTCAGCGGCCATTTCCTTGGTCTTGTGGACCTCGAGCTGGGCGTAGAGCTTCCTCAGCTCGTCCTGGGGGCGGGGGGCCGGGGGTGCAGAGCTGGCGGTGAGGGCCAAGCTCTCCATCCCCTGGCGGCGCTGCTCTGCCCCTCAGCCCTTGCTCAGGCCATTTTCTCTGGGGGATCTCTCTCCCACCAAGCTGTGTCTGTTCCCAGCTTTTAAAACTCAGGATTCACTTCTCCGTCCTGCAGGGCCAACAACCTAGTTCCCGAGCCCGACCCGCTTAGCTCCGAGGCCTCAGCGCACCACTGACTTCTCTGGGCACTGTGGTCTGGTGGGAAGTCTCCAGCTTGGGGGACAGGAAACCTGGGTTTGAAGCTGCTGACCCATCACGTGCCTCCAGGCTATTTTCTTGCCCTCTCTGAGCCTCTGCTTCGATAAAGTAAGGAAAACTGGCTGCCCAGTGTTCACTTCCTTAAGGGGATTATATGAGACAGGTGGTGGGACCAGTGGGCGTGAAAACTGCCATATTCAGGTGTAAGTGATCGAATGGGACTTTGAAAGTCTTTTGTACTTTGGATCTCTCCCCGCAGCCAGCATAGGGGAGGTACATGGGCTGCTGCTCCCCATACTGGAGGGTCAAGAATGGTGTCTCTGTGGCAGCATGCCTCCACTCTTTGGCCTGCCTGCTGGATTGGGGTCTCAGTTCAGCCTATCCCCAGGGGGCAGGCGGCAGGGCAGGCAGAGCTCAGAGGATGAGGAGGATACGGGGGAAAGAGAGGCAAAGGCAATTGAGACAAGGAAGGAATTGGGGGATGTAAACAAGTCAGGTGTGGAGGGGGCCCCAGGGGAGGTGGAGGGATGGACAAAATGGCTTCCTGGGACTGTTCCCACATTGCAGGTTCTATAAGACAATGGGCTTTACCGCCAGGTCTCTTTATTTCCTACCCTCTGAGCCTCTCATTAGGGTTTCTGTGACTATAATGATATTCTTAAGCAGAAAAATAAGGTAAGGATGGTCTCCTGATGTAAGACTCAGGAAGAACTTCCTTTCTCTAACGCTGCTGGGTCCAGGGAAAGGGGATCCTGGTGTGGAAATCCCTGGTAGCCACTCACTGCCTGAATTACCCAGCCCCAATGGCCCTAGGGTCACTAACTGCCTGGTATGTTGGGGACTGAGGGGTTTCTTAGGCTGCCCCTCATGGTGGCCCTGCTGAGTGGGAGTGGAGGACACAGGAGACACAGGTGATTTGAGCTCCACTCACGGTTCTGCCTCTACCTTGCCAAGTGGGTCTCAGGAATCTGGGTTCTGGGGTTTTGCAGGGGCAGGGGGGGCGGTCTATCCACTGTGTGGCCTCCTTTGAGTAGAGTCAGGGGAAGCAGCTTAGGGCAGTGGTGGAGAAGAGAGGGAGGCGGGTCTTAGAGGAAAAGCTATGGGGAGGAGAGGGGACCTGCCGTGGCACACAGCCCGGGTGGCAGGGCAGCTGTGCCCCCTGCCCAGTCCCTAAGTAGCATCAAGAGGAGGCGGAGAGGGCAGCACCTACCCGAATGTCTCCAGGGTCCAGGCTGTGCTCGCTCCAGGCTGAGGCGATGCTGCTGTTCAGGTAGGAGCCTGAGCGCTGCAGGTCCAGCTCGTCCTCGTACACCTCATCCAAGATCTCCTCTCGGGGAGGAGGCCCCGGCTTCCGGAACTGTCCATGGTGGTGGGCATGATGGGGGGGGGAAGACTCACCTTGGCTCCCTGCCCCATGGCATATGTATTTACTCCATAAATCTTCACCCTCTCTCTGATTTGGAATTCTGGGGGTCCAAGGAGTATTGTTCCCTCTCATTCCTGATTTTCTCTAGCTCAGAGACCAGGGGTCTCAATGCCCTGCCCCCACAATTCCTAGCCATGTCCTTCAGCTACCCACCCCTCACCTATCTCTGTAACTGCTTCTGAGTTGATTTTCAGAGTCTCCCAACCTTCCAGTTGTATTACAAGGACTCCCTTCAGCTCTAGCTTTTTTTTTTTTTAACTCCAAGTGTTTTTTTATTATTTTCTTTTAATCATTGATTTATTTATTGGCTGTGTTGGGTCTTCATTGCTGCGCATGGGCTTTCTCTAGTTGCGGAGAGCGGGTGCTACTCTTCATTGCAGTGCGTGGGCTTTTCAGAGCACAGTCTCAGTAGTTGTGGCACACGGGCTTAGTTGCTCCGTGGCATGTGGGATCCTCCGGGACCAGGGCTCAAACCCGTGTCCCCTGCATTGGCAGGCGGGTTTTTAACCACTGTGCCACCAGGGAAGTCCCAGCTCTAGCTGTTATTTCCCTTGCCCAGGGATTGGAGACGGAGATTCCTTCTGTGACTCCTAAGTGGGCTCCTTGCTTAGGGCCCAAATCCCTCAGGGCCCAGGGTGTCATTCTCACCCTGGCCTGGAGAGGGTGCTATGGGCACAGCAGCTCCACAGTGCCCCTGGCAAAGGGGCTGCGTCTCCCTCACATGGAGACCAGGGGAAGACCTCACCTTAGGGATGAAGATCAGAGCCAGTGTGGCGGTGACTGTGCTGTGGGTGTGAAGGAAGAAGAGAAGGAGCGTCCAGTCTGGGTGCAGGGAGGGAACCAGTACAAACCTGAGGGTGAGGTGGGAAGGAGATGGTTAGCTACAGGTGGGAGTGGCCTCTTTCCTCTCACCTGTTTCAGTGGCTGTCCTCCCCAGCCCCCGCCCTGATCTCCTGGCGGTGCTCCGTGCAGTGAGGAGGGCACTCTTCCTTCTTCCTGCCCTCCCACCTCAGGGCTCACGTTAATCACCACCTCTGAGAAGCCCTCCCAGACTACTCCAGCTTGCCTTCTCTGGCTGCTTATAGCACTTAACTCTGTTATGGACCACCCTGTGGGTTGATTCTACCTTCACCACAGGGCCAGATCCTTGTGGACACTCATAGCAGGCCAGCTGCAAGGACAGTTGGGGTGTGAGGGGGAAGAAGGCAGTGAGAATGGAGCCTGTATGTGGAGAAGAGTGGGGGGGGCGTGTGGAATGGGAGAGGAGTCAGGAGCAGAGCATGCTTCCTCTTCTTGGGTGTTGGGTGAGACATGGGTTACAGGAAGGGTATCTGTGGGGTAGGGAGAGAGCTACAGGTGGGGGCCCTCCTCCCCCTTGCTGAGGCGTAGTAGGTGTTGCAAGGAGGGCTGTGGGATGGGGGTACCCTCACCTGGGAGAGGTGAGGAGTGTTATTAGGGTGGGAGCCGTGGTGTGTAGGTGGGCCCGTCCTCACCTGGCTGCGTGAAAGGCAGCAGAAAGCAGCAGCTCATTGTGCAGGGCGATGCCCATGTACCGCGGCTTGTGCAAGGCTGAGGGAACAGCCCGGGTGGCGTAGCAGAGGAAGCTGCCCCAGCACAGGAGCAGCATCTCAGCTGCGGGGGAAATAAGGAGAGCCGGGTACCACCTCAGCAGCCATGCACCCCTTTCTCTGTAGGCCGTGCTGGGGAGACCCCTGGAGGTACAGGGAGGGGGACCAGAGTGAGGTTGGGCTCAATGGAAACAGCTTACCCACAACCATGATGTAGTCCCAGCGGTCGTGGTGGCAGAGGTAGAAGTGACGGCCTGTGTGGGTGTGGCCTCGCGCCACCAGGGACGCGTGCTGACTGCCTTGCTCCAGGATCCCCGCTGTCCACACAGCCAGGAAGCCCAGCACCAGCAGCAGAAGCAGCCCCAGACGCTGCAGCAGCCGCCCGCTGCTCAGGTGGGGGCCCCGCTGGGGCGTTCGAGACAGAAACAGCTGGAGCACTCTACAAGGGTTAGAGTGTGGCTGGTGGATGCAGGGAGGGGAGATGCCATTGCTTCCCTCCCCCCCGCACATCCCTGTCCTCCCATCCCTTCCATGGTTCACCGCCTCCTCTTACCCCCAAAAAAGTTACATGGAGGGGAGGGCCATAGTGATGGGAGCAGGCCTTGGGGGCACAGAGGAGTAGAGCTGGTAGGGGTCTGGCTGTGAAGAGCTTCATTCCATAAATGAGCTGGGGTAGCCTGGAGTGAGCAGCGTGAGAGCTAGCTCTGCCCCAGACCCTACCTATAAAGCTTGAGTATAATAGTGCCGTAGACGGTGGCAAAACCCAGCAGCCGGACCCAGCGGAGGGCGATGCAGCGGAATACACCGGGCTTGAAGCACAGGATAAAGACCTGGCGGGGAAGGGGCACAAATAGTTGCTCTCCACTGCACCTGCACCGTGTGCCAGGCCTATGCTAAACACATCGCTGATCCTCCTAACCGCCTTGTCACAGAGGCATCATCACCTCCATTCTGCAAAGGGGTAGCTTTGTTATCAGAGAGGTTAGGTAACTTGTCCTAAGTCACACAGCAGGTCATAGAGCTCCTTTTAAGCCTGGCTGTTTGGTTCCAGAGCTCACTAGACCAGCCTGTCATTTGTGGGTATGACTTGGAGGATTTTGAGGTCTCTGAATCCCCCCAACAGGGCAGAGAGGAAGGATTCTGGGGCTTGGAGGGTACCAGGTTGGGACTCTGGGGGATCCTGGGAGGTGGGGTCAGCCTCTGGCCACAAACTCACAGGGAAGTAGAGCAGCAGGGATCCAAAAAGGATGGTTTCCAGCAGTACCACTCCAGATGCCCGCATCCTCTGTGAACCCAGGAAAGAGAGAGGTATGTAAGCAGGGCAGCAAGAGGACAGAGCCTGGAGGATGGTACAGGAGGGTCTCAGGCCTGTTTGAGGGGTCACCCCATGGCCCTGAAGCTAAAGCTTCACCCTGTAACATTAGCTCTGCCCTCTCCATCCACAGCCACTCTCACCACAGGCTCTTAGCTCCACTGGCACTAAGCCTGGCTAAGGCAAAGGTTTCATATAGCTCCTGCCACCCCAGGCCCGTGCCCCTCCCAGTCCGAGCCTGGGCCTTGCTGCAGACCTGGGCTAGAATCAGAGGTTGCTGGAGCTAGAAGGGATCTCAGGCTTTCCTCCAAGCTTTGGGTCAGACTGCCTCCTTGTCTAGAAACTCGCTTCTCTGTCAATTGACCGTCAACTTTGGCTCAAATGTCATGTTCTCCAGAAAGTCTTCCCACGCCATCTCAGGCAGGGTGACTGGGTCCCCTCTCTGAGCTGCCACAGCAACTGACACCTCTATCCTGGCCCCTGTTTTGCTGTGCTGTCATTTTATTTACATGTCTGAGGGGCCAGATCACTTCCCCTAGTGCCTACACAGTGTTTTGAATCAAGTCCAATGCCTTCATTGAGCAGGTGAGGAGACAGGTCTAAGATGGTGAGGTCACTTGCCTCATGTCACATAGTGAGTTAGATTAAGAATCAGGACCAGAACCCACTTCTCTCAAGTTCTGGTCTTAGGTAGTCTCTGGTCTCCGGTTGATGCCGGAGACTCAGGATGGGTAGGACACGTGTGTAGAAGAGAGATGTGGGGCCTTCCTTGCCTTGGTCTGGTGGCAGCGATAGGAGACCAGCATGCTCAGGAAGACGGCCAGCATGCAGCACGTCTGAGAGGCCAGCACCACTGCCCGCAGCGCGGGGGCTTCCTCCACCAGGCACGGCGTGGCATCCAGGCAGCTGGAGCAGCCCTCAGCACATGGTTGGCACCGCAGCAGCCTCCCGGAGCTGCCTTGAGGGGACCCGAATTGCCCGGTAGGCTGGGCAGCACCCTCCTCTGAGCCTATAAAGAACAGGATGTGTGCAGGGAGAGGGGCATGGCTGGGACAACCTGAGACCCCAGCCTTCTCTCCCAATGGTCACCACAGCTCTCTCCGTGCCCTCTTATGGTCTGTGGCCCCTGGGGTAGCGTCAGGATGGGTAGGAATGAAGAAGTGGGTACTTTCAGGGGAAAGCAGGGTAACAGGAAGAGGCGATGCCAGGCTAGGACTCACTGCGAGGTCAGCTTGCATCAGACTGGCACGTTATAAGCTCATTCTCAGAAGGAACAGACACCCCCAAATTGGACCCTGCCCGCCTCTCCTGCTTCTCTCGACATTCTTCCCTTGCTCCATGAGTTTTCTCCCAGTGTCTCACCCCAACCTGCCTTTCTTCCCCAGATGCCCCCCTCCAATCAGCCCAGCCTGTAAAACACCTTCCTGGCATTCCGCATAGTTACATACCCCCGGAGCTGCTTGCCCCATAGAAGCCTGGTCGGCAGCGGCAGAGGTAGTGGCCAAGGACAAAGCCCTGACTCTCCAGGGGGACACACTGTGGGGATGACAAACACAATTGGTATTTATATGAGGCTTTCCCTCCTGGGAAGAGATGGAGGGTGCATCTACCTTCCTATCCACGGCCCCTGGGTCTACACCGGGGAGCCCCACCAGAAAGCCACCCCAGCCCTTGGGAAGCCTTCCACCCCTGGAAACCCTACTCTGCCCCCACCATTGCCTGTCTTCTCAAAGAGACCTCCAAGCAAAGAGTATGGGGATGGATCACCCTTTTATTCAGACTGGCCCTGAAAGGAGCCTCACAGGTCCCATTTCCCAGTGCCCAGCTGATGCTAGAGCAAGGTGCTGGGGAGGTGGAAGCAGGGGGAAATCTGAGCTCAACCACACCTGTGTGCCTACATCCTGCTTCAAGGGTCCCCATCAGCCTCCCTCTTTGGCACACAGGTGGGTTGAAAAGGCCCCCATGGAGGAACAGCTTCCTCCATCAGGGCCATCTGGCTTTGGCGCAGGACTGCTCTCCCCAGCCCTAATGCCAGGCTAATGCCAGGCTGGTGGGATGCCAGGGCCAGCTCTTTATTCCACCTCCACCCATTGATGTTTGCCCAGCAGGGGCAGAGCAGACCTCAGAGCCAGGCAGGGAAGATGAGCCCGTGGATGAGGTCAGACCTACTGTAGGAAGTGGCTGGGAATAGACAGCAGTGGGGCAAAGGAAGGAAGATTACATATCCAGCCCCTAGAAGGTGCTTCTGAAATCGTGGCCCAGCTTCCCCTCTTACTCAGACCACTGGAAAACATTCTGTTCCTGCCATAGACAAATGCATACCCAGAGACACGAATGTGGCTGGGTTTAAAAGTGCACTGGACAATGGGAGCCCTTATCCATCCCTGGACTGATAGCTCCAAACACATGAGCCCTGAAGAGCAACAGATGCCCAAATCCACCACACCTCCCAGCAGGCTGCAGGGCCGCCCTTGGCTTTGGTTCAGCTCAGGAACATGCATGCAGTCAGTGTAACTGTGGAGCAGATTAGTTCACTGACCTGCCAGTTTCCCAGTACTGGGCTTGCAGGATTACCAACCATTGCTTTCCATTATCCAGATTCTCCTGCATCCACGGCTTTGATTTTGCCAGCATCTCACCTGGGTTCCATCACCTTTACCAGTCCCAGAGCTCTTCAAGTTCCTTCTCTGGTTAGTCTCCTCCTACACCCCAACCAGCAATTCTACTTATTTCAACAAACACCCAACAGAGCATCCTTTGTGGGTCAGAAGGAGCCCAGAGCTCTGTTGACATGGAGAACGTGATTCAGGAGAAGGAAAGGGGACAATTAATAGAGGCTCAGGAGGCGGTCCTGGGAAGGGATCCTGGAGCACCTAGTACCAGAAGGGAGAGCAGACAGGGAAGCACACTGAGAACGCAAAGGAATGAAGGTGGCTGTCTCGTGTGGGGGATGGGGCTAGGCTATATGTGTCCTCACTCTTAAAAAGCCTGGTATCTCATCTCTATCTATCTTATCAGTAGGGACTTCCCTGAAGCCGGAGAGGGTGTTGTGCCTTTGTCAGCTGCTCCTGATGGCAGTGATGGGAAAGGGGAGGGAGGCAGGACACCAGCACCCCCACCCTCTGTATCCTTACCTGGGTGCTGTTGAGATCACACAGGTGTGTGTTAGAGTACCAGCCTGGGCCGCTGGCACACTGATTGATGTCCACGCTCTGAAGATCTACGTCCATCTGCACCTGCCCCCTAAGGCAGTGAATTGGCAGTTAGGGGTACAGTGAAGGATGCCAAGGTGGACATGTGTCCTTGGACCCCAGACTATGAGGCAATGCAAGCTCTACAAACTTTAGCACAGTGGCTGCAGTGTGCCAGGAGAGAAGGCACACACGCACGCCATTTCTCCAGTGCTATTAACCCTCCCTGTCTCTGCAGCAACAATCCTCCTCCCCCTAGGTTTTTCCCTGCCCCCACCCCCCATCCTTCAGGTTTTCAACATCCTAGCATTTCTTGATTTCTATCAATGGGAAAGGGAGGGGGCGAGACATACAGGAGCTGCGGCTCTGATGATCTTTCTGAAAGGGATATTCACACTTCCCCACTGCATGTATATACACACTCACACACAAACACACACACACACACATACGCGCGCGCAAAGCGCAGCTATTAACCACCCCCTCACTCTGCCCAAACCAGGTCTGAATTGATCAGCAAAGGAGATATGGAATAGAGGGGCCCAGAGTCAGAGCTGCCTGGCCTAAGGGCTCTCAACCCCTGCTCTGGGCTGAATGGGGAGAGAGCTGGCAAGAAGCCAAGCTGCCTGTGGCCAGGAGAGGAACTCTGCCGGGGACAATGAATGGGGACACAGAGCTGGGAAAACAACGTTGTTTGTTGAATGCCTTGCGGTACACTATCCATCTGCTCCCTCCTTCCCATCATGGCTCCCAATCACCTCTTTACTCCAGCTGAGGGAGGAAGTCAGTTATTTGAGGAGTATCATAGGCTATTGGGGTCAGGACTTGATATAAGAATATAGCCATTGGGAGTGACCCTGGGGATCTGGCCAACTCCTGGGCAGAAAAGGCAATGGTGCCAAGCCTCCCCGCAAGTGTTCTCCTTCCTTTGCAGAAGCCTCCTTTTACAGCTCTAGATTGCTAGGGAGCAGCGAATTTCACTCCTGAAGCACCCATCTGACTCCTCTGAGAAGCCAGTGCATGGATTGTCACTGTCTCCCACACCAAGCCCTCTCCTGGCTTGTACCCACTACTCAGACCTGGAGGCCAGGACCTATGCCCAGCTATGTCCACACATCTGTACACACACACGTGTATACCTACTTGTAAATGGAGTGATTTATATGTAGTACATACACACACCTGTATACGTTAACACGCAGTTCCAGAGTCCCAGGGTCAACTGCAGCTATACACAGCTGAATGCAAACACACACATCTGTGTCCCCCACACATGTGCATATACCAAATGGCCTATGCACAGCTGGCTGGACTTGGGCCCCCCACCCCACAAATCCACAACAGCATCAAACCCTGCACAAAAACCACTTACCTGATCTCCGGGCTGAGGTCTGGCTTGAGTCCATAGAAAGCGGCTGAGAGTGTGATAAGCCAGCCCGGACGGAGCCGGCCCTCCTGGCATTCCAGGAAGGGAGGAGACAGCCTCACGTGCTGCAAGTCCCCCACATATCCATCCCCCTGTGGCCACTTGGGGCTGCCAAGGCTCCCTAAGTCGTTGGTCAGCACCCGCTTCTGCAGGTCAGGGGTGTCTAGGGCCCCGGTTGGGCTCTCTTTCTGCACCCTGCTCCCGGACAAGTCCTGAAGGATGGTCTCCTCCCCCATCCGGGTGGCCTGCAGGGCCAGCTGCAGGTGGCTGGCCCCCAGTGGAGGGTTAAAGGTCAGCAAAGCCCGGTATGCCCTTGGGTCCCCCTCGGCCACGCTGCGGACCAGTGCCTGGTACCACTCCACATCCTCCTCCACACTGGACTCCCGGATGTCGTTGGCTTGTAGCAGCATGTTGAGGAAATTGGCAGCCTGCGTAATGGTGCCCGCTGCCCTCCATAGGATTGGGGGGAGCCCTGGTCTTTCTCCTGCCCCATGGGCTTCATAGCGCTCACTGCAATTAGCCCCCGACAGCTGTTGGGCATCTCCAGAGTAGAGAAAAGCTAGGGCTGCCTCAGCCCCCTCCGGGGGCACCCACATGGGTACAGATCCTGGCTTGACTTGGGAGGACAGCACGGGCAGAGAGCGGAGGAGCCTTGGACCCCCCAGAGCCCAGCCACAGAGGAAAGAGCAGCCCAGCAGCCCCCACACAGGAGGAGGCATGACCACTGCCCTGGTGCCCATCCTTGGGGCAGCTCTCAGGGACCCTGGGGTCCAGGCTGCCCGGGGTATTGGAGGCTCAGGAGATCCCAGGCAGAGGCTCGCCGCAGTCTGGGGCTGCCTGCTTGCACGTCTCCGATCCTTGCTTTCTCTCTTCCTCTCTTCCTCTCTCTCATGCTCAGGCTGTCTTACTTGTTTTTTTCTTCTCTTTAACGTCATCAGCTGGCTTCTGGATGTAGGCATGAGGGCTCTGTTCCCTGCTCTCTCAGTGTGGCCCCCCATCGCAAACCCTTTTAATCCTGGCACACCACTCTTCCCTCCCCCTCTTATCCAATATCTAGGCTCCCTCCCCTCACTCCCCACCCTACATCTGCTCCAGGGAGAGATAGAAGGGACCAGCCGTTCTCTCTCTTCCTCCCTCCCTCCCTCTGCCCTTTGCTCCATTAGGAGAGATGGGCAAATCCGGGATGGGGTGCCATAGCAACCGCAGATGAGCCTGTGCCCCTCTCTCCACCCCTCTGCTCCACTCAGCCTCCTGGCAGCAATTTCGACGGCCATGATAAAGGGCCAAGCTGCAGCTCCTGGCAATCTGCTCTAGCTGCCTGTACCCCCGACACCGTGCTGCTGAACTGGAATTTGAGATTGGGGTTGGCGAGGGGTGGGCAAGAGAGCCCAATAAGTATAGGTTTTTAAAAAAATATATGTTTATTTATTTATCTGGCTGCGCCGGGTCTTAGCTGCGGCACGCAGCCTCTTAGTTGTGGCACGTGGGGTCAAATTCCCTGACCAGGGATTGAACCCAGGACCCCTGCATGGGGAGTGCAGAGTCTTAACCACTGGACCACCAGGGAAGTCCCAAGAGAGCCCAATAGAACCATAATTGATATTTGTACAGACCGTGGCAGTTTACAAAGTGTTTTTCATGTGCGTTATCTCAGTGACTCTTCCCCATCCCACCTATGCTGAATATTCTTATCCCCATTTCACAGATGCAGACAGTGAGGCTCAGAGACTCACCCAAGATCACATGGCTGCTTCATTTGAGTTGAGACTCAAACCCAGAGCTCTGATTCCCCTACACTGCCCCATCAAACCCCCACCACCACCCCGTTATTCATCCTTAGAGACCTCAAGAAGACCTAACTATAGCCCGGAGAGGTGAAGGGACTTCCCTAGGACCACACTGTTGCTCTTGACAGAGCAGGAGCCTCCACCAGGTCTCCACCTCCCCAGCCAGGGAAGCCCGCCTTCTCCTGCATCACAGAGCTAACCACTGCCCGGAGTAAGGGGGTCATGGTGGGGAGCGGGGAAGAGAATGAACAGTTTTGCTTCTGCTTCTTCCACCTTCATTTTGTCATTCTAAGCCCTGTCTTCTTCCTTTCTTCATGAAAACCATGGCTAACCTCTCTTGCTCTTCCAGGTCTTCTTACCCCTCACATCCTTCCCTCTGTCGGACACAATAACTGGAAAGCTCAGAGTTAGCACTGTCTGAGGCAGCCTCCTCGGATCCAGAAGGGTGTGGATTCTTGAAGTCAGCCACGGAACAAAGCCCCTGCCTTCCTCTCCCTCCCTCTTCCACCACTTTCCCATCGCTGATCACTCACCCAGTGATTTGGCCCCATGTGCATGTGCTATCTGTCAGTTTCTCTCCTTCTCACTTTGCCGCCATCCCCGCTTCTTAAACCTCTGATGTCCCAGATCTCTGAGTTTATGTAGGGAGGGCTGGGTGGTGGTGGCTAAAAACTTCTCTTGCTTTACTGGTGGCCTCTGCAAGCAATAGTTCTGCTTTGGAACCTTCACTGGGAACGTAAGGGGTGGAGGAAGAGATGGGGGCTGGAGGACAAACCTCCACAGAATCCCTATGATGTCAGAACTAAGAGTGCCTATACCCCAGACCTTTCTCTAATAGAGAAGGAAATGAAAACTAAAACCAAATGTCAGCTAAGTGACCTCCTCAAGGCCACAAAGCCAGCGAGTGGTCTGGGGTCAGACCTCTATCACACATCCACACATCCACTGCCTCTCTGATTCCTTCCTGTGTGCCAACAGAAAGAGGGATGGTAGGGGGTGGGGTGGGGTGAGCAAGTGCTCCGTTCCACGTTCTTGGTATTATTACTGGTTACTGTTAGTCCAGGGCCAACAGAACACCTTGGGTGAAGACATAATAGTCAGTTGTTTTTTCCCCCAAGAAGCTTTTCATAATAATAACTTATGTTTGAATAGTGCTGTAGCATTTGCGTGTAAGTTTTCATTTAATCCCTACAACAGCTCTATCAAGGGGGGATTATTATTGACCTATTTTTACAAATGAAACACAGGTTCAAAGATGTTTAATTATTTGCTCTTGGTAATATGTCCAGGAAATGGCATGACTAGGACTCAAAACTAGATGGCAAGCTCTAGAGGGGCAGAGACCATGCCTGTCTCATTCATCACTGAAGCCTAGCCCATTGCTGAACGATTGAGTGAACTCAAGACTGGTTTCGCTTCTCTGAATTGTTCTTTGCAAACCTTTTAAACTAGGGTTCTACCACTGCAGGAACCACTTATACAGCCCTCAGGAAACAGGTATATGTAGACATAAAACCTACCCAACAAATCCAGCTCATACAAAGATACACTTCCTTTGCTTGGAGCTTAATTTTCAATATTTTTTCCAGGAACTACAGGAACTACAGGTCTGGACATTTAAGGAAATGGAGAAAGGCAGCATTCCGTGCTCTGCCTTAGGAAAAGCCTGTGTGTATTCCCCTGTGCCTCTGTGTGCTCAGGGCAGGTGGAGATACCCAAGGCGGCAGACATGGTCTGCCTCCCTCTGGGGCCAGGAAAGTAGCTGGACAGCAGAGGGCGCTGTGGAGCTTACAGACCTTGCATTCGTGGGGGTAACCTGTTCTGGAGCCAGAGTTTTCCAGAGGCAGCCAGGATCCTGGGTGGTCTTCTTAGGCCTCCGGTGTGCTATGGTCCTATAGCAATTTCTCTTCTTTTCTCCAGAAACCTAAGTAACACCTAAAAGGTATTGGAGAGAAGGTAGAAAATATAATCTTTGGAGTCAGAGCTGGTTTTGAATTCCACTTCACCTTTTTTGAACTGTGTGACCTTAGGTAAGTAACTCTTCAGTTTTTGCATGGGCAAGGGAGGTTATTAATTCTGTTGTGAAGAATTAGAGATGAATTTGTATCAGGAGCTTCTTACAAGCATGGAACAATCGTTTCCATGCTTATGTATCAAGGGCCTACTCCGTGCCAGGCAGTCCTTGGCATTGGAGAGTCCATGATGGGCAAAAAGCAGACGAGGCCCCTGCCCTCACAGAGCTAACAGCTTAATAGGGAAGACAGACTTTAATCAAATAACCTCGCAGATAGATAACAAATCACACCTGTGCAATTAAGTGCAACAAAGGAGTGGTCTTGGAGCTCACCGAGGAGGAAGTACCCAGGCAGGGAGATTTCCCTGAGGTAGAGAGAAGTTTAATTTGAAGGATGAGTAGGAGTTTATGAAGCAAAAAGGGAGGGAAAAAGCCTTTAAAGAAAAGGGAATCGCTTATGCAATGGCTATGTTTTTGAGCCCGACACAGGGCTAGTGGAACAGCAGGGCAGAGAAAACAAGGTGGAGCCTGGTGGGAGATGAGACCAGAGAGGCGGGGGTCTGATGACACAGGACCCCCTAGGCCTCCTTAAGGAGTTTTGTCTTTAGCCTAAGAACAGTGGGAAACCATGAAGGGTTATAATCACAGGCTATTGGTGAATATTCATTTTAAAAGGTTCTCTCTGGGGACTTCCCTGGTGGTCCAGTGGCTAAGACTCCATGCTCCCAATGCAGGGGGCCCGAGTTCGATCCTTGGTCGGGGAACTGGATCCCATATGATGCAGCTAGGAGTTCACATGCCTGTGGCTAAGGATCCCACATGCTGCAACTAAGACCTGATGCAGCTAAATAAGTAAATAATATATTTTTTTAAAGTTCTCTCTGGCTGTAGAACTCATAGCAGACCCTGGATCATCTTCCCCTAAATGCACCTTCAGGTACTAAAGTTGCTAAGTTCTGCTGGCTGATCCTTCCTCCTTATCCTTTGCATTCCTCAACATCTCTTCATGGGAAGATTGCAATGGTTTCCTAACTGGTCTCCCTGCCTCCAGTCACACCTCCTCTACACATGCTTGAACTTACTTGACCTTCACAACATTCCTGCAAGTAAGCAAAGCAGCAATCCTTATCCCTATTTTGCAGATGAGAAAACTGAGGTCTAGTGGTACTGTGGAACTGGCTCATACAGGCTTGTGAAAGCCAACTGTTAAAATTTCAGAAAATTTGGGACTTCCCTGGTGGTCCAGTGGTTAAGACTTTGCACTCCCACTGCAGGGGGTGTGGAATAAATTTTGCAAGCCAGTTGGTTTTTGGGTTGTTTTTTTTTTTGGCTTGAACCCCGGCCTTCAGCAGTGAGAGCATAGAGTCCTAACTACTGGACTGCCAGGGAATTCCCTACAAGCCAGTTGCTAAACACAGCCAACTGTTAAAAATTATACAAACATTAAATATATGAAAAACAAAGGTAATACATTCTCAAAACTCATCACTTCCTAATAATTTTACTATTATTATTTACCTGTGCTCTTGAGGTTATTTGTGTTATTGTATCTGCTACATAATAGTATGAAACTACTGCATAATAGTATGCTCTGTGCTCAGTAAAGTCAAGATGGTAGATTGAAATCAGCCTTTGTGGGAGGATTTACCAGAGAAATCGGCAGACGCTACGAATAGGGACTTGATTGTTTTGTCGATAATCTAGATTTAAGAAAGTGATGAGAAAATGTAAATAATTCAGATTTTAAGTGAATGTGTTATGTTTGTAGCCATTACATTCTGTATAGCACAAAACTTGAGGAAATATTCTTTCAGTATTTGAAAATTGTTTTCTTATTCAGCAAAGAAGTCGCTCCCATAATTGACAGGTAAGACGTCTTTGTTTATTCACTTTCCTCTTACACTGACACAGAGGACATCAACCAACATCCATGTCGCGATTACGTTCCCCGGTCAACTGAAACCACGGGTTGGCCACCCATACAGCAGTTGGGCAAAAATCAGTGAAAGCATTCTGTGAGAATAAATTGGTTATAAGGAATCTGCAAATGTACACTATTATTTGTAAATTCTGTGCTACACATCCTTATGTACCTATATATGTGCATACATTCCCCTTTTCTCCCGACAGTCGTCTGTTCAACATTTATCAGCACAGCACTGGGTCTAGAACATGTTATTCATGTGTCATTCCATAAATATTCACTGGATGCCAAGGCGGGGATACAGTTAGTCAATGAACAAACGACTTGGCCACTGTCACACATCGCAAGCGGCATAGGCGGGACCAGAGCCAAAGGTACTGTCCTCCCAAGGCCAGCAGCTCTCTCCCAGGACTAGACCAAGCTTTCCAGGGCCACCCCACCTTATCCCGAAGGGTGGCTTCGGCCAGAGGGCCCGGGAAGTGAAAAACCAGGGTCAGGGTACCGGACTAAGGGCTAGGCGAGAAGCAGCTCACGGCCAATAGCGGCCCAGGCCCCGCGTAACGTCACTCTTCAGAGAGGCCGGCGCGAGCATGACCAGAGGAGAAGGCGTGGCCACCATCACCCGGAAGTGACGCATTGGGGGCGGTGCTCGGCGGCGCCGCGCAGGGTGGGCTCGCGCTGGGCTCCGCGCGCCCCCCGCCCCCTCTATGAGGCAGAGGCCGCGGCGGCCGTTAGCACTGTCGTTCCGGGGGCCGCGGCGGGCGGGGCTCCGGAGGGGCCCGGCCTAGTCCCCACCCCAGCCCGGCTCCCAGCCGCCCGCCCTCCCTCCCTCTCCCCGATGCAGGGGGCCGAGCTCCGGGATGGTGAGGCGGCGGCGGCGGCCGCTTCGTACCGCGTCGAGGACGCGGAGGCGGCCCGGGAGCCGGGACCCTCGGAACTGCTGTGTCCTCGGCACCGCTGTGCCCTGGACCCCAAGGCCCTGCCGCCGGGGTTGGCGCTCGAGCGGACCTGGGGCCCGGAGGCTGGACTAGAGGCGCAGTTGGCGGCTCTGGGGCTCGGGCAGCCTGCGGGGCCCGGGGTCAAGACGGTCGGCGGGGGTTGCTGCCCGTGCCCGTTCCCCTCGCAGCCGCCCCCTCCGCAGCCCCAGCCGCCTGCTGCCGCCCCGCAGGCCGGGGAGGACCCCACGGAAACGAGCGACGCGCTGCTGGTCCTGGAAGGCTTGGAGTCGGAGGCCGAGAGCCTGGAGACTAACAGCTGCTCGGAAGAGGAGCTCAGCAGCCCGGGCCGCGGAGGAGGAGGGGGCGGCCGGCTTCTGCTGCAGCCCCCGGGCCCTGAATTACCCCCGGTCCCCTTCCTGGTGCAGGACTTGGTCCCTCCAGGGCGCTTGAGTAGAGGGGAGCAGCAGCAACCTCCCCCACCCCCGCCTCCTCCTGGGCCCCTCCGGCCGCTCGCGGGCCCTTCTCGGAAGCGCTCCCTCAAAGTCCGCCTCAGTCGCCTCTTCCGCACGAAGAGCTGCAACGGTGGCTCCGGCGGTGGGGATGGGGCCGGCAAGAGGCCTTCCGGAGAGCTGGGTGCTTCAGCTGCGAGCCTGACAGACGTGGGAGGCTTTGCGGGCCGGGAGCTGGACGCGGGGAGGTGAGACCGGCTGGGGGGCGGTGGGGCTGGCTGACAGACTTCCTTTTCTTGTTTCATTTCCCTTTTATTCTACTGCTAACACGATCCTGACAATTCTTAAGATATCGTCTTCATAAGGAGGCGGAGACTTGGGGTGAAAGGTGGTGACATTGCCCATTAGGTTAGAGCTGATTGTGGGAGCAGCCTTCACTCTAAGAATTCACTCCCGCGGTGACACTTATCAGCTGGTTAGCATCTCTCTAGCTGGGCGATGATTCCAAACCATCCCTCCCCCACGCCCACCCTGTCCCAACTTTTAAAGGTTTTCCAAGGTGTCTGTCTACCATTACCCGTGGCAGGGGGCTTGATGGAAAGGTGTAGCCTTTGGGGCAAAAAGTTGGTGTTGTGTTTGACCACCTTGCTTATTCTTTCCGTGTACCAGCACCCCTTTCACACTCACGCGTGCAGATGATGTGACAGACTTATGTAGTTGTAGGCCAGCAGTCAGTTGGGCATCTCTGTTCAAAGTTTTAATGTTTTCTTGGTTGGTTTCTTAGATATACTTGGTATCTCAAGCCTGTATGCTGACCACTGTGAGAATAGAAAATAGCCTTGCTCTCAAACCCACATGAGAAGTCTAAGTATGAGGTATACTCATGTACATTAGTACATGAGTTCTAGGCCAGTTGATGAAAATTCCAAACTTAGACATTTTTTTCCTGCATTTCTGAAGGGTGGACGGCTCTCAGATATCCAGTGTTAGATTTGTACATCGGTTTAGAAAAGCTGTCAACTTATGTGTCAATGAAATGAGACTTCCCTTGTGGTAACTGCCATTGTGGTTTGCACTGTTGAGTGGGTTCTTAGAAAGATTGGAATTGGTTTTGGTGCAGCTCATGTGATGGATTCATGAGATGCACTGGCAGCCACAACCCAAGGCTGAAAAACGTTGAGAACTACTGTTCACCAGAATCACGTGGGGAGCTTTGGGAAAAGATCAGAGGGCCAAGACTTTGAATTTTTAAAAAGCTCCCTAGTCGGTCCTAAGGTGTGATCTGGACTGGAAACCACTCATCCTTTCAAAGGAACTTGTACTTCAAGAGGAAAGTGTGGGGTCAGTTTTTTGTTTGTTTGTTTCTGCCATGTGGCAGGGGGGAATCTCAGTTCCCTGACCAGGGATGGAACCTGTGCCCCCTGCAGTGGAAGCGCAGAGTCCTAACCCCTGGACCGCCAGGGAATTCCCTTGGTCAGTTTGACTTTGTTGCCTTTTCTGAACAGCTGGGCCAGGGGCTTATCTTGGGGATCAGACCAAACCCAGACTTCCTGAGGAAATCAGTAGGTTGATGCATGTTGCCCCTTCAGGTAGATGTATGTTTCCACATTTGCCTCCCAATGAACTCACGCTGGGAGCTCAGGTCTGGAAAAGTGTGGCTGCTGAAGCAGCTTTTTCGTGGTAGGCTCTGCATTTGATGCTCCATGTAACCAGTGTAGATGAAATTTTCATCAGCTGGGGGGAGGGCAGGATTGAAGCTGTGGGTAATGACATAGGATAGATTGCTAGTTTTCTTGTGGTTTGTCTTGCCTTTGTTCCATATTGACCAGGACTTGGTCTAAGATTCCAGAGACGCCAAATAGGAGGTGTGGCGTGAAATTAGCTGCTACGTCTAATAGATTAGGAGGAGGAAAAGGCATATAACATTATACGGTTTTTTGCATTTGGAAGCAGAATTTAATGGTCATTGGCTGCTCTGTGACCAACCCTCACACTAAGCACAATACAGATTTCTGCTGCAGAGCAAATTGGGCTGTAGCTCTGCAAAGAAGCTTAGTTCAGGGCACTGGAGAATTACATTTTTTGGTCCAAGAGCTTTTTCTGATGAATTGGAGAAGAGCTAGGTATTCATGTATGAACGTTTGGTTGACTGCTGTTAGGAGGCAGCATGTTGTACAGAGAATGTGAACATTTAGATTCCATGTAGGACTCCAACATCAGCTGTGGGATGCGGGCCAATTTTGTCTTCTTCATACTTCCCCCTTTTTTTAATCTGTAAAATGGGAGTGATTCCTGTCTTGTTCCTGTCCTTATAGGAATAGAGTGAAGACAAGAGAAATTGAGATGGAATATTTTGTGCTTTTGGAGGAGAAGTAGTAAGATTGAACTGGTGATTTTTTTTAGTGCTTAGGATTTGGTGCTGTTAGATTTTCTTGTTAGCTTCTCCACAGCTTACTATGTGCCAGTCTTGCTGGCAGCCTCGCAGCTGTGAGAAGCTTGATAAGTCTGGCCAGGGTAGTTGTGATTTCTGTGGATCTGCACCTCCTTAGTAAGTCCGCCCTGTTGGGAGGAAGGATAAGTTTGGATTTTTAGCTTGTGCTCTTGTTTTGATTGGTAGGACCTGGAAGCCATGAGAAATGTCAGTCTTTTGCCAGAAGGTATATGCCTTCCTTCTTATTGTTGGAGTTAATTACGAGTCTCTGCAGTCTTCGCTGTATAATTTGGGGCTTTTACAGTAACCTCTGGGCATGATTCCCTTTGCTCTTCTCAGCATTTACCTTCCCCACAGCTATTACTAGAAAGTACCTCCTACAATCATTTTTTAATTTAATTTAATTAATTAATTTTTTTTGCCATGCCGCACGGCATGTGGGATCCTAGTTCCCTCACCAGGGATAGAACCTGCACCCACTGTGGTGGAAGCGCAGAGTCTTTTTATTTATTTATGTATGTACGTATGTATGTATGGCTGCGCTGGCTCTTCGTTGCTGCGTGCGGGCTTTCTTTAGTTGCGGCGAGCGGGGGCTGCTCTTTGTTGTGGTGTGCTGGCTTCTCATTGCGGTGGCTTCTCTTGTTGTGGAGCACGGGCTATAGACACATGGGCTTCAGTAGTTGTGGCACGCGGGCTCAGTAGTTGTGGCTCATGGGCTCTAGAACGCAGGCTCAGTAGTTGTGGCACATGGGCTTAGTTGCTCTGCGGCATGTGGGATCTTCCCGGACCAGGGCTCGAACCCGTGTCCCCTGCATTGGCAGGAGGATTCTTTTTTCTTTTTTAGGCTGCGTTGGGTCTTCGTTGCTGCGCATGGGCTTTCTCTAGTTGCGGCAAGTGGGGGCTACTCTTTGTTGCGGTGCACAGGCTTCTCATTGTGGTGGCTTCTTTTGCTGCGGAGCATGGGCTCTAGGCGTGCGGGCTTCAGTAGTTGTGGCGCACAGGTCCAGTAGTTGTGGCTCACGGGCTCTAGATCACAGGCTCAGTTGTGGTGCACAGGTTCAGTAGTTGTGGCTCACGGGCTCTAGATCACAGGCTCAGTAGTTGTGGCGCACAGGCTTAGTTGCTCCACGGCATGTGGGATCTTTCCAGACCAGGGCTCGAGCCCATGTCCCCTGTATTGGCAGGTGGATTCTTAACCACTGCGCCACCAGGGAAGCCCGAAGCGCTGAGTCTTAACCACTGGACCTCCAGGGAAGTCCCCCTACAATCATTAATAAGGCTTAACGGTTTACATATTTTAACATTAAGCAAACTTTAGTTCCTTTCAGATGCTTTAGAGTCTGCTAAGTTGACCTTCCTGGATATACAGAGTCTTAGGTCTAGTATGAGTTAGCTTAGGTAACTCTTCTGAAGTGAAGGGAGAAATGGGCCCACCAGCTAATCAGGTTTCTGTTCTGAAGAACTGGGCTAGGCCGTGTAACACACATATGTTGGGATTCAGAGAGCTGGGCTTGATGCCCGTGGGCTTCAGTGTTATATACGATTGCTATTTCAGGAAAACCAGTGAAGTTCCCTTGTCTGTTTCACATATGTTTAGTTGATTGTCTCCCTTTGTGTTTGGTGAGAAATAGCATTTGATCTGACTTTTTTGAATCATCACATAATATATACTTGGTTGGAAATGGGTACCTTGTTCATTTCTCAAGGTTTGTTTTTTTCTTACTTACCAGTTGAGGATATTACTGGCAGTCTTCATAGTTGTGAGGTGGAAAAATGGAGAACAGTTCTGTAGTGGTTTCCTATCTGGGAAGAAAGATTCAATTCTGGAAAGAGAGGCAGGCTCCATTGGCATCAATTTGGGGCCCTGCTGTCGTGGACAGACCTGGCAGACATGAGAAACCCTTTTCTCTGTTTTCCTGGGTCTTCAGGTCTAAGGGGTCTTTTTGAGAAAGAGCATGACATGCTGAGAGCAAAATGATTTTATGGTGTGGTGAGGAGGGTCTGATTTTTTTTTTTTTTAACTCCAAGTGTTTTTATTTTTAAAATTATTTATTTATTGGCTGCATTGGGTCTTTGTTGCTGCGTGCAGGCTTTCTCTAGTTGTGGAGAGTGGGCACTCTTTGTTGTGGTGTGCGGGCTTCTCAGAGCTCAGCGCGCAGGCTCAGTAGTTGTGGCGCACGGGCTTAGTCGGCAGCATGTGGGATCTTCCAGGACCAGGGCTCGAACCCGTGTCCCCTGAATTGGCAGGCAGATTCTTAACCACTGTGCCACCAGGGAAGTCCCAAGGAGGGTCTGACTTTATGTGTCGGTTTTGGGTCCATGTTCTGTAGATCTTTTTTAAGTGTTTTTCCATGAAGTGGTTGTGGTTGACAAGCTCTCTTTTGGAATGAGCAGCCTGGCTTCAGAAATCTCTGTCCATTTCAGTCTTTGTCTTTTACTTCTTAACATTTTGCCCACTGACATCATTCCTAAGGTTTTAGACCTTGGGCTACACCTCTGGGCTTTTCTCTGGAAGTTCCCTCCGTAGGTTCTTTAGTTGGTTTATGGTGGAGTTTCAGATCTGACCTTGTTGCACAGATGTCTGTGTATTGGAACTAAAAATGAACATGTGGTTTTTGTGCCTGTAGCTCAAGAGCAGACACTGGCTTATGGTGTGTTGGAAATGGCAGAGGCTGGCTGACTTGGCACTGTGTGCCTTAGCAGGGGCAGAGGTAAATTGTGGCCACAAAACCTGATATTTGGACATCCTACTTTAGAAGTTAGAGAAGGACATGTGTAAGTCTTAGGACACCATAGAGGGGATTTATGGACAAGAGAGGGAAAGCATTACTATTTCATTGTTTATATTTTAGGCTTCAAGGAATTTGAAAAGTGGCCAGTGGTTATATCAGTGTGTTGTCAGCCTGTCTAGTCTAATGAACTCCTTTTATCCCACAGATCTGTTGCCATACAGTTAGTAATTTGCAGAGTGGAAATGGACAGAGGCATCCTATCTCTGTTACCTGCAGCACAAGCAGTGCATAGCTGACACAAAGGACTACTTGCCTCAGAGAAGACCTTTACCTAAGGTCTTCTGCTGCCCCTGTCTTGTTCTGCCATCTGAGGCATAGCCCACCAAGTCCTACCCCACACCACCCGTCAGGTTTTTCTGCTGCTAAGATGCAAGTGGCCCACTGGCAGAGTTACAGTGGCTTAACTTTGTACCCTAATGCTTGTCAAGGTGGTCTGGGGAGGAATAGAATAATATGGGAATGTAGTATAGAAGGGTTAGTTAAAAATGTTATCTGGAGCCATGTCATTCATGTTGCTCTCCAAAAAACAGCACATCCAGCTTAGAATGGTTATCATTTTAAATGTTTCATATATACAAGAAGAGATGTATAAAGTGTATGTACAATAATAATAATGAAGTGTGTACCTGGGTAACCATCACTAAGCTTAAAAAATAGAATGTTATCAGTACCTTTGAAGACCCCTGTGTGTTACTTCCCGATTACATCTCGCCTTCCCCCATGTAACCAACCACCGTCCTCAATTTTATGTTCATCATTCCCTTGCTTTGTTTTTCATAGTTGTCTAGATTGGTCTTTTCATGAATGACTGCCATTAGAATGCTCTCAGGATCCTTGAGACAGAAACTGTTTTGGATTTTCAGTTAGATAATATCTCCCCAAAGAGAGAAGGAAGCACTCATATTTATTATTAGCCTTTCAGCCTCTTAGACCTTCTACTTCTTTAACCTTCCTTATTTGCCAGAAAAAGCCATCCTAGGGCTCTCAGATGGCTCAGCCTGGGTTTAGAGTCGTATGTATTTCTTTTTCTAGATCCTAGAAACTATGATTTTCTTCAAAATGCCAGGGGCGGGGAGAAGATGAGCTGGAGTGAGAAGGCCTCCGCAAGATGTGTGCGTTTGGGTACTGCTGTTCTTCAGTGCTTGGCACTGAGGAGGCTCGTCCCCAGTATGGGCAGATGGCAGAGTAACGCAGCTTCCTTTGAAAAGAGGCAAACCGCCAAATGGCTGAGGTGTGAACCCTTCGAAAGGCCAGTGCTTTAGGTTTCTGCTTGCTGAGTTTAATGTTGTATCCACAAGTTACTGAATAAAAATCAGCTTGAAAGCTCTTCAGTCTTAAAGTTAATGTCCAGTGGAATTAACTTTCCATTCCAGCCCTCTGGAGTGTTGCAACTAAGCTGCAGACTGCCATGAGCAACTTTTATAAATAGAGGGACTGTGTGTGCTTGTGTCTTGTTCTGATGTAGCCACCTCTCCTGTGTGTGCTGTGGGCGGGGCGTTGACAGTGGGCACCATCATTAGACTTCTCAAGTCTCATCATGGAGGCGGCTGCAGAGGGCGTGTGAGATAGGTCAGGAGAGGGATTCCGGCATCTTGGCTGTTTCTGAGTAAGGTCTTCACAGTATGGTTTTGAAATTCTGTTTGAAGTGAGTTCTGAGAAGCGCAGACATCTCTGATAAAACATAAATGAATAAAGATCTTCCAAAGTCAAATATTTTAAAATAGGATTTCATTTTGGATTTTCTGCCCCCGTCTATTGGTGAAGTTGAAGTTTTATTTCAACCTTTGGGTGAGAGTAATTTTGGAAAGTGAGCCAGCTATAAGGTGTGGAGTCAGGCATTTAATTTGGTGGTAGAATTTTTTTTTTAAGCCTGATTTGTTGACGTATCATTTATATACCACCTAAAATTCACCTTTTTAAAGTTGCTCAGTTCTATTAATTTTGGCAGATGTCAACATCATAACCTCTGCCATAACCAAGGTATAGCATATTTTCATCACCTCCTCAACTTCTTTCCCTTTTAGTCAATTCAATCATTCTGAGGTGAGTTTTTTGAGCTCAGCATATTTCTAGCCAGAAAGTCTTTGTCAGAGTCTTTTGGATTTCTTTCATTTCTCGCCCAAAAGCCAGTTGAAACTGGTGCAAAGTGAAGTTACCGTTGGTGTGTCTTCACAGGTGATCTGGGTTTTCCAGCTGGTTCGGGAGCAGTATCAGGAGCCGTCCTGCGGGGAGAGCTGTGACTGGCAGCTCTCAAAGGGGAAGAGGCCATCTTCTTTGGGTGCCAGGCAGAGCTCCTAACCTGAAGAGGCTCCCCTTTGGCTTTGACCTATGGCTTGGAGGCATTTTGCAAAAATCAGAGTTCTTACTGGTTGAAGATTGCATGTGTATCCTATAGTGCTGTTCTCAAGTCCAGAAATCTTGCCTGATTTATTTTGGGACCTCCTGCTCCTAGGAGCAGGCCCAGAGGGAAAGCTGGTGCTCTGAGGTGGCACCTGTTCAGGTCAAGAACCTTTTTCATGGCTCCCATGTGAAAATCAACTCTGTGTCCGACTTGCTTCCTCTAGAAATGGACTTACTAATTACCACTCAAGGTGTTTTAGTCTTTTAATGTGATGGGTATGGAAAGCTCCAAAGAGATTTCTTATTGCTTTGTAGGCTGCTGAATTCTGTAGCCAAATCTATTTAGGAATTGCCTTAATTGTTTTATTCTCCCCCTTTAAATTTTAGGCTTTATTACAAAAGTGTGGCTGACAATGACTAGGGTTTGCTTTGTTTTTTGGTGCATCTGGAATTGAGTGTTGCAGTGATTTTTTGTTATTGTTGTTGTTGTTGTTGCAGTGATTTAAATGCATGTGTGTTCATTCCTCACCTCATTCTCTGTGTGCTTCTCACCCCTCAGGAAACCCAGGTTGACAAGAACTCAAAGTGCCTTTTCTCCAGTCTCCTTCAGCCCCCTGTTCACAGGTAAGGGTGAGCTCTTTCTTTTTCTTCTGACATCTGAAAGCACGAGTGTTCTGAGACGAGTCAGGAAACACTTGCAGATGCATCTCAGAGGGAGCTTCAAGCATGTCTGCAGTTATTTTCTTCATTTTGTGCCTGCTGGGTTTGGGGTGAGGCTATTTTTATGGTGTGAAATGTATTCTTGACTTTGGATGCTTTATAGTTTGAGGTAGAGACTGCATGCTGGTAATTAGGTGGCCCTGGCAGTTATGCAGGCTTTAGTTCAGGGTCATCACATATAAATTAAAAGTAGAAATTACAAATTTATAGGCTCATAGTGCATAAAGTACTCCCCAAAAGTCATACGGTTCCTGTCCCTGCTTCCAAGGGAGTTCATGGATTATCTAATAAACATGATCCATGATGATCTGGTCTATTTTTAAAGACTTTGGGCAAAGGGGATCACATGAACTCTTGTCTTACCCATTTTAGGGGCTAGCAGTTCTTACAGCTGTTAAAAGAGTTCTTCACTGGATCTAATTTAAGTCTCTCCTCTTGCAGCAGGGAACACAGTTGCTAAAGTAGGAAAGCGGTCAAATATCCTTTTGCCTTCTCCTTTAAAGGGGAGCTTTTTCTGAGAGGGAGACCTTTTGTTTTGTGAGTCAGGTGTGACGCTCCTGCTTGAGGGAGCTGTAGAAAAGGAAGTCTGGAGCACACACAGCCTCAAATCTAGAAACTGAGTGCTCTTCACTGGGTATGGCCGAGAAGCCTTTAAACCGAATCCCAATTTCAAACTCTTTTGGATACTGTGTCCCTCAAAAAAGATGATTGCAAGAATTCTGATCTGGGACTGGACATTTCCAGGAAAATGTTAAGCCGGCTAGTGGAACCCCCATCGCTGGGTAGACTGCTGTGAGCTGTCAGGACAGGTGAGTTGGTGCCTGCAATAGGCACAGGTGGAGAATGAGGTCCTCCTGTTCATATCCTCTCTGTTCTTATCCCAAGCAACGAATTAAAGGATCTTATCCTGTAGCAGAATGTCTTTCTAGTTAGTAGTTGTTTCCCTTTTAAAGTAATGAAACCCACATTTGTAGTTTCAGGTTCCACGTTCTTATTTCAAAGAGCCTTAGCTCTCTTGAATTACATCCTTTAAGTGCATACAATCTAGACCTCTCTGACCCTTCAGGAAACCTGGGCTCATTGCATTGCTCTGGGCAGCTAGGCCCTCAGTCATTAAGCTGTGTGATGAGTTCCTAGAACTTCCACTGATGACTTTTGGAAGAGCTTTTCTGCTTATCTTAATTAGTGTTCAAGACCTTTGTTTAAAAAAAAAAATATTAGATTCTGAAAACCCAGCTCCTGGCCTTTTAGAGATATTTGTTACCTCATTTTCTTAACTGGGAAACATTAAAATTCCAGCTGAGGGGTAATTCAGCTTCCCAAATAAGAAAAAGGTGTTGGAAATAGCACCCTAAGGGCCAAATTACAGAAATCCCAAATTCTGACTTGTGGATCAGACCTACCAAAACAAACTTATTCTTGGCTGTCAACCTTTTGTTGATAAAATACCCTTCGTTCTCTGGTGATTCAAGTGGAGAGAGGTTAGACGGGGTTGGGTGGCAAGAAGGAGTGTATATGGCAGAGAAGAGAACTGCGTGACATGCTGGGAAGTAAGGAAACCATGTGCCTGGCTTTTGGCTGACTGAGGAAGTAGTTAATTATTAGGGTTGTAAATGCACTTTTCGGCCTTTGCAACGTCAGCTATTAGGAATTAATTGATATCTGAAATGGTTGGTTCTCTTGTGAGTGAATATCCTGGAAAATCTAGATGTGGAAAGCCATTTAGGAAGAAGTTAGAGCTAACATTGGGACCTTTATCTGCATTCAGCTTAACAGTTCTTACATTTTAATGGCACTTGCTTTCCATGTCCATTTGGGCTTGTAACAAGCTGCTTGCCTTGCTCTCCGAGGCAAAAATTGGTATACAAATCTGTAAAAAACTAAGTGGTTTGGGTTCTATTTGAATAAAGAAGACCTCTTATTCAAGGTTATATCCTCAGTGGCAGAGCCAGGATTAGTTGGCTTTTCAACTGTCAATCCCATATTTTTGTCTTAAAGATCCTTGATCTTTAACAGGGTAAAGGAATGATGGAATTTTTTTTTAGGAATGATGGAATTTAAAATTGACTTCTCAGGTGGTTTTTTTGGGCGGGGGGGGGTGGTGGTGGTATGATTCCAGCCAAGGAGCATTAGATTTTGAGCTTTCTGAGAGCCATGGACCTCTCTAGCCTCCCTTGCTTGCCCTCTGTTTCCCTTTGCTTCCTGGCCTTGGCTTTGGGCAAGGTGCTACTGTAACATGCTTGCTCCATGAATCCCTCAGGTGAAACAGTGTCACTTGTGGACGTGGACATCTCTCAGCGGGGCCTGACCTCTCCACACCCTCCAACTCCCCCTCCTCCTCCAAGAAGAAGCCTCAGCCTCCTAGGTATAGTTTCCTCCCCTCTCTGTCTTCTTGCCCTAGTGGGAGGGTGAGCTCTATGGACCTGTTGTTCCTTGCCAGGAGCCAAACAAGCTCCTGGGTTTCTATTGATGGCCCAATTATTTCTTGTCCCTTTCTCAGCACCCCTGTCCTCTCCCGAAGTGGTTAAATTGGTCTCTTACCTGCATGCTATAACATCTACTGTCCGTATATTGATTCGATCTTTATTTATTTATAAAGGGTATTTATCTTGGTCTGAATCTACTGCTAGTGGGCAGCTTTAGGGATATCCTTACTTTCCTGCTTTCAAGCCAAGGAAACCAGATTAAGATGATTGTTGCCCTGTGTGCAAAAAGACAGGGTGAAGGTCAGGCCATCTTGCCCCAGAGGGCAGCCTGATGACCCTTCTCCTTCTCCTCTGCCTTCACCTTGCTCATTCTGTGCCCATATTTCTGAACCTCTTGCTTTTGTTCTCTCTTCTAGATGATATCAGTGGGACGCTGCCTACATCTGTCCTTGTGGCTCCGATGGGGTCTTCCCTGCAGTCTTTCCCCCTACCTCCGCCTCCTCCACCTCATGCCCCAGGTTAGCTTAGCCTAGACACAGGGCTTGCAAGAGTGGGGAGTACCAAGTGATATACTTCTGAAGGATGGGAGGAATTTATTTATGGAAATAACAGAATTTATGAGAAAGCTTAAATTGTATCCCCTTGGCTGGACCAGAACTCCTTGGAAATGAGGCCAAGAACTGGTTTTTCTAACCCGTTTTCTTTATGGAGGTGAATCTGATTTTTGGTAGAGATAAAAGACTGTTGGATATTTTTGTCTCTTTGCTGCTGAAACTTTTGCAGTCTTTGAGTCAGTATCATTTAGGAAACTGCCTTAATTTTAGTAGAGGGAGGAGGTTTAATATGTTGCTGGTTTTCAAAGTTCTCTGGTTTTTCTAAGCTTTTAGCATTTACTGCAGCCTTGTAAATAAGTACCAAGCATTCAGTAGCCCATACCTGCTTTGCCAGCCTCCAGTACCCAAGGAATAAAATGAATGAAATGAATTATTTTCTACTCACCTGGCAAAATCTACTTGCCTGGCAAAATCATTGCTCTTCCCGGGCAAGTAAGCGAGTCACTATTTCCAAGGCTGCTTTCCCGGCACTTCACCTCGAGGTGGGAGAAGTTGGAATCGCTCTAGGCTGGTGAAGGCCCTGAAGTAGTCACCTTAGTCAGGTTAGTGAGCTGCTCCTTACCCCTTTCCTGGGGTTAAACGCCCCCACCCATCCTTCACAGCTTACACGAGCCCACACGGCTTTTTGTCCCAGCCCATCCAGCTCTTCCCCACTGCTTTGGCTTCCACGCTTTCCAGCTTATCTTCTAATGCCTTGCCCCACTTCAGTTAGCCTCTTTGTTTTGGGGGGACGGTCTTCTTGAGGTTGGGAACAATGAGGGTCGGCAAGTGACCTCCACTCTCTTGCCCTGCAGATGCGTTTCCCCGGATCGCTCCCCTCCGAGCAGCCGAATCTCTGCACAGCCAACCCCCGCCACCCCTCCAGTGTCCCCTCTACCGGCCCGACTCAAGCAGCTTTGCAGCCAGCCTTCGAGAGCTGGAGAAGGTAAGTGGTGCCTCCTCTTGCATTCTCCTAATTCTGTACCAGCTCCCCTTTTATTATTTTTAGAGGAAGAGTAGTTTTCTTGCTTCTGTATTTACAGTGACAAAACAATATGCTGCTATTATTAGTTCTATAAGAGATGTTGTAAAATTGAATCTGAAAAAAAAAAATCTGAACGTGATGGAGAAATGTTTACATAGTTGACCCAGGTCGCTCTTCTCTTCTTTGTAGGGCCTTGGTAATGGAATTTTAAAATTATTTTTCTGTTACTTTGGAGGCCTAAAAGTGTGATGAACCTGGTGTTCATTGCTAATGGTTGAGACACTCCTAGCAGCTTTTACCTATTGCAGTGTTTTGAAAACGGGGTTCTTGTGGTAAGAGAAATTGTGCTGAAAACTTTGACATTTCTCTGTTCTGTTAACTACTTGACCACTTCTTTGATAGTGTGGTTGGTATTGGGGGCCGATGAATTGGGAAGATGCAGAGATGAAGCTGAAAGGCAAGCCTGATGGTTCTTTCCTGGTACGAGACAGCTCTGATCCTCGTTATATCCTGAGCCTCAGTTTCCGATCACAGGGTATCACCCATCACACCAGAATGGAGCACTACAGAGGTGAGAGGTGCTGGCATTTGAAGGAAGCCTTCTTCCCCCTTTGCCTTTTCCTACCTTTGCTATCTGACTTTTTCATTGGAAGGATTCATAGAAATGGAACTGTGAATGGGGAGGAAAATCTCATAGACTCAATTGAATATTGATTTGGGCACTGGTTTCGATCACTGGCAGAAATGTTGGTGGGGGTTGAGAGGAGCCTAAGGATGCCGTTTAAAAGTATTCTCAGCATCTTGTCTACTAAATTGGAGAGTCTGAAGAACAGAACAAAGCCAGTAAAACTCTCTTGGTAGAAGGAAGAAATAACCTAGGACCATTAGACACATTCTTCCAAACTTTGGTTTATAATTAAACTTACTATCTAGAGATATCTACTATTAAATCATATATACAAAGAGGAGAATTTGTTGATCCTGTGACTGTTCTGTTCTGAATTTCTTTGCCTGGAAGTCACATCAGCTCTTCTTGCCAGGCAGCATGGTGATAATTATGTCTTCTTTTGGTCAGCTTTGTAGTCTCATAGGAAATAGTCATCAGAACTCTATGAGAGTTTGTGGGATCAATGTACTTTAGACTGTCTGTCTTCCTTCCTGGCAGTACTTCCCCCTCTGCGGTCCGGTTGTGCTTAATATTCCAGTGATGTAGAGAAGCTGACTTGTTCAACACTGCAGTCTGGATGGGCATTCTGTGTTTGACTTGGGCCACAAACTTGTGATGGTCATTGGTGGTAGGGCTGGCTAATACATCCTTTGTCAAAAATTTGTAATATGCTACAAATTTTAAAAGTGTGGAGAACTCTGGGGAGTTTCAGGGACTTGCCCCCCTATCCCTCATACTCTTCCCCCATGTGATCAACTTCAAATGAGCTATATTAGATATTGCATTTCAAGTAAGGGGCTCTTTCATGCTCTTCTCAGGCACCACTGTCTCTCTCCTGCTCTCAGCCATGTTCTGCGGGATTTATTTGGTTTGCTTCTCTTGTTAGACAGGAAGTACCTGTTTAGGTCAGCATAGCTTTGTCCATGGTTTCCTCTGCCCCCATCTCTGCTTTCTTATTTATTTATTTTTGCCTGCGTTGGGTCTTCGTTGCCACGCGCGGGGCTTTTCTCTTGTTGTAGAGAGCAGGTGCTACTCTTCATTGTGGTGCATGGGCTTCTCATTGCAGTGGCTTCTCTTGTTGCGGAGCACAGTCTCTAGGTGCACAGGCTTCATTAGTTGTGGCACACGAGCTCAGTAGTTGTGGCTCGTGGGCTCTAGAGCGCAGGCTCAGTAGTTATGGTGCACGGGCTTAGTTGCTCTGTGGCATGTGGGATCTTCCCGGACCAGGGCTCAAACCCGTGTCTCCTGCATTGGCAGGCGGATTCTTAGCCACTGCGCCACCAGGGAAGCCCCTCCACCTCTGCTTTCGAGATGCGTGAAGAGAAAGGAACTTCAGTCCAAAGACCTGAGAATTAGAGAACTGTGGGGTAGACTGCTGCCTGTTTTCCTGCTGTTTCTAAAAACAAAAATCAAACAAACAAAGAAAACAAAGCATTTCAGAGTGAAGTGCTTTCATAAACTTATTAAAATGATAAGTGACTAGGCCATGGAAATGATGAATAAATGCTTGACCTCTAGGTTCCTGATAGGTGAGATGCCAGGAATGGGAGGGCGTTTTCAAATGGTTCTCCAGTTACTTTTTGTTCAAAGGGACTTTTCTTCCTTGAATAAGTGGAATTTTTAATAGAAGCCTGTGGGCCTTTCAGTTGCCAGCTTGCAATGGAACATTTGTCTTCGTCTTTTTAAGTGATCCTGTGAGAGTAGTTAGGGAGACTCAAATCTATAGTTCTCTTGAGTGATTAGTATCCCTTTTGTGACTCCTTTGGATTTAGTGCTTTAGTTGTTGGAGGTTTTTTGTTGTTGTTTTTTTTAAGTCATGGGAGTTCAGATTCCCTTTTGCCTTCGGGATTCTAAAGTTTGGGGTGGGATCTTTGTAACATGTTGGAGCATGGGATTTTAGAAGTTGCAGAAGAAAAGACTTAGAATTTGATTTTTGTGCCTAACACACATATGAATGAGTGAGACCCGCAAAACTGCTGTTCTTGTCTTTCCTGGACTATTCCATGCATACTTGAAGACTTAGATATTTTTGAGGGTATGTCATTTAAACTCGCTTTTGCTATAGCAGTCTTTTCTTTATGGTCTGTGGTTTAAAGATTCGTGTTCATAGCCACCAAAATCTATTTATATCTCTTTTTCTGACTTGAATTTATTATTGTTTAACAAAAACCTTGTAAGACCTAATTTATGTCTTATTAAAGGCAACATCTTTCCATTAGTTGTGGAACAAGCAGGAACAGGGACCTTTGTCTGACTCAGCTTGACTAAAAACTACCCTCCCAGAAGTGAGAATCATTAAAATGTTCAAGCCAGCCTCTCAAATCTTTTCGAAGTAAGTTTTGCATTTTTACCTCTCCTTAACTTTCCGTGGCAGGAACCTTTAGCCTGTGGTGTCATCCCAAGTTTGAGGATCGCTGTCAATCAGTGGTGGAGTTCATTAAGAGAGCCATCATGCACTCCAAGAATGGGAAGTTTCTCTATTTCTTGAGATCCAGGGTTCCAGGTAAGGCTATAGTTACATTAATTATTTAACTGACTTGGGTATGATCCAGTGTAGGATCTCTACCCCCTCCCCTGCACCCCCCCAAAAAAAAAAGCAACCAAAACCAAAACCAAAAACACTTGAAGCTTTTTTACCTCAAGCTTTTCTTCCTGGCTCTTGTAGCAACCACTCTTCCTAGAGCCCTCTCCTGCCCTTGTATTGAGAAGGAATTGATCCCTCAACATATTGAGAAGGAATCTTTGCTTCTTTGATCATATGAATGAAAAAACTGATCCCACCACTGATGTCCAGGAGTCATGTGAATATTTAACTTGCAGAGGTATCTTGTTGTCCCTGATCCAGGCTTCTCACACTTACAAGTGAAACAGAGAGCTCTTAGATCATCTCCTTGGGGAACAGGGAAAGTAAAAGAGTATTCACTAGAAATGGTGAGTGTCAAGGAGGCTGAGTTTAATAGCAGTCTGCTCTGGATTTTGTCCATTTGTACGAAACTTTCTGTCAAAGAGTAGATACTTTTTATTTACCTATTTATTTATTTATGGCTGCATTGGGTCGTCTTTGCTGCATGCGGGCTTTTCTCTAGTTGTGGCGAGCGGGGGCTACTCTTCGTTGTGGTGCGCAGGCTGCTCATTGCGGTGGCTTCTCTTGTTGCGGAGCATGGGCTCTAGGCACAAGGGCTTCTGTAGTTGTGGCATGCGGGCTCAGTAGTTGTGGCTTGCGGCCTGTAGAGCACAGGCTCAGTAGTTGTGGTGCTCGTGCTTAGGTACTCCACGGCATGTGGGATCTTCCCGGACCAGGGCTCAAACCCATGTCCCCTGCATTGGCAGGTGGATTCTTAACCATTGCGCCACCAGGGAAGTCCAAAGAGCAGATACTTTTTATTGTGTCCCGTATCCCTACCAGTATTGAATACAGAGACTAGTCTCCATTTGGGAGCACTGGGCAGTTCCCATCCTTGCTGGTGTGGTTACGTAGTCTTTCTGCCCAAGTAGGGAGGTAGCTATATAATCTCTATTGAAGGGTGGGGAGAAGGGATGGTTTGCTGGAATCTGCTTTTATAGTGTTGGAAAAAAGTAAAATGGCAAGCACATTAACTGAGGAATTTGTAAGATACAAACAGAACTTAAATGAGAACTTCATGCTTTGCCATTGAATCAAATTAAGATTCTTAAACAAACTGGGTGCCAAGAAATTGCTCTAAAAAGAAGTTACAGGGAAGCCTCCAGCGGAACATTAGTAACAGGATTGAACCAGGTTACAGGAGTGTGTTTTATAATCTTGGTGATTTCAATAAGGCACGACAGGGTGCGAACTGTATTAATTCTCACTTCATTTAGTATTTGCCTCAGTGCTGTCAAGACAGTTGGGTCTCGTGCAGTTGACTTGGTTAAAAGGAAAATGTTAGAATCCTTTCTTACAGGAACTGACTCTGCTTAGCAATCTTTAGAGTTTGTGGCTTTTGGGGTATTTATTTAGCAAACAAACATTTATTTTTTAAACTCAGTATCAAAAATAAGCCACTTCTCTACGCTCAGAGAGCTCTTAGCTTAAAAAAGGGGACAGGTAGGAAGATAAAGGCAAGAGCACATGTTAAATTCAATACAAGACATGACAGTGATTGACAGGGACAGGGTGGGTAATCAGCTCTGTTTGTGGGTGAACCAGGGAAATCCTCTCAGGATTCTGAAGTCTGGAGCATGTATCTACTTGTAGAGTATTGAGAGACTTCCTGGAATCTTGGACTCCTCAGGTATAGCACGTTTCATTCCACAAATGTGCCCTGTCTGCAGAAATTATAAGTAAGATTTTTAACATTGTTAAGGGTTAGAGTTTGCAGTGATTGCTACCGTTTATTGAGTGCCTATCATGTGCCAGGTACTTTGTCAGGTTCTTTATTTCAGTAGCTGTAATTTCTTGCAACAGCCCTAAAGTTAGCTAATAGATTGGTCTACTTAAAAAAAAAGATTATTTTCATTTTGTCAGTGAGGAAACTTAAGGGTGAGGCTCAAAAATGAAGATGTGGCACACATATACAGTGGAATATTACTCAGCCATAAAAAGAAAGGAAATTGAGCTATTTGTAGTGAGGCGGATGGACCTAGAGTCTGTCATACAGAGTGAGTAAGTCAGAAAGAGAAAGACAAATACCGTATGCTAACACATATATATGGAATCTAAAAAAAGAAAAATGGTACTGATGAACCTAGTTTCAGGGCAGGAATAAAGACATAGACATAGAGAATGGATTTGAGGACACAGGGTGGGAAGGGAAAGCTGGGGCATCAACATATATACACTACCAAATGTAAAATTAGGTAGCTAGTGGGAAGCAGCAGCATAGTGCAGGGAGATCAGCTTGGTGCTTTACGATGACCTAGAGGGGTGGGATAGGGAGGATGGGAGGGAGGCTCAAGAGGGAGGGGATATGGGGACATATGTATGCATATGGCTGATTCACTTTGGTGTACAACAGAAACTAACACAGTATTGTGAAGCAATTATACCCCAATAAAGATCTATTAAGAAAAGAAAGATTAGAATTAAATCAGACTTCTTTTCAGAAACCACAAAAGAAATAAAAGAGTGGATTGAAATATTTAACATTTTGAAACAAAAAACCACTCGCCTAGAATTTTGTATCAAGTGAAATTATCTTCTAAAAATAAAGGAGGAATAAAGACTTTCTTAGAAGAAAAAAAGTGAAGCCACTTACTCTAAAGGTTACTCAGTGCTGAAGCCAGGATTCAAACTGAGGCCGAACTAACTCCAAATCTTGTGCTTTATTTCCCACCCTCTGTTATGGGAAAAAAATAGCAGTAAGCCAGTTGCAGGTTGAGTTAGCTGGGATTTGTGGAGAGGACATAAAGAAGTCAGAATTGTGTTTATTAGTGGAGACTGTCTTTCTAGGACCTGTGAGGAATGCTACAGGTAGGATATCCATTTGCACTTAAAATTGTCATCAAGTTGACAAGGCAAAGCGAATTAGTATTTACCCCTAGACTGTAAGTGACCTCTCTTTGAAGGATTGGGACAAAGAAGGCAAGGCCAGTGTTCTCCTTTACCATTGTTTGCTGCCTTCCTTTGCTTATCACAGAGGTCTAGGCATTCTGTGAGGCTGACTTTATTAGGGGGGAGGATTCCCGTGAGGAAGTGGTAGTCATTAGAATGTAGGTTGAGCTCTGTCAGCCTGCACCAGGGATTATAACACGGTGCATTCTAAAAGGAGCCCTTTTGTTTAGACTTTGGGATGATGATAACTGAATGCCTACAAGGGGTTAGTATTATTTCATTTAACCCTTACAAAATCCCTTGAAGGGATGTTACAGTCTCCCTTTTTTTTTGTCTTTTTTAAAATACAGATTAAGAAACTGATGTTCAGTGAGTTGCAGAGTCAGGATGCAAAGTCAGGTTTTTCTGGCTCAGATCTAGAGCTGGATGCAGTCACAGCACATCCAGACTGGTGTAAAAGGATGCCAGGGCTTATGGGAATTTTAAAGCTGGGACTAATGGGAAAGTTCTGGATGGTGGCAAGTAAGGAGCAGAAGGAATTTAATAAGTGGAGTAGTTCGCATCTGGGGGAGGAATCAGTGGTAAAAATGATGGCACCTGAGCTTGGTTTGCCCCTTATCTCTTCTCATGGCAGTGTTGGAGCATGGTCATGGTAAATCTGAGGTTGCTGATTACACCTCAGTCTGGTCCATTTCACAGTTGTAAACTAAACCCCTAACACCAAGCAGCAATCTCAGAAAGAGAATGTGATTGGGTTAGCACAAAACTTCTGTTGCTGTGAGAGCCAGAACTCAAAGTGAATGTGTCCTTCTTTGTTGGGAGAATCTCTATTATCTGTGAAGTGCCTGAAGAGAAAACACTTTTTGTTTTTTTAATCACACTTTGAATTGGATAACTCTAAGGAAATTGGTCGCTTCCTCTTTTGTAACTATCATTTAGGCCATGATTACTTGTTTAGGGCTATGTCTTCCTTGTATCCTAGAATTTCTCAATTTGGCCCTACTGACAAGTTTGGGGCTGGATAATTCTGGCCTTCAGGGAACAGTTTGTTGTGGGAGGAAGACCTGGGTGTTTGGGTGCTCAGACCTGAAAGAAGTTTGTCACTCCTAACCTGCTCCTTTTTGGGGAAAGAGAAAATAGCCAAGGGGCTGGAAACTGGATTTGTGCCCAGGACCTTGGCGTGGGGACCAGAGGAAAGTTTTTGATGATCACTCTTCTACCTTGTCTTTCACTTTCGCTGCACTGGTGTCTTATGTTGGATTTATTTCCATTTCTGACCTCATCTGTTAACAAGCTCTGGATGTGAGAGCTTCAGTCATTTTCTGTGTTTGCGGGCAAAACCAGGGAATATCAGAGAATTAACAGGTTTCAAATTGCTATTTGTGAACTTAAGGCTAAAAGTAACACAATTAAATAGGCAAGTATATATGGTCATTATAATTCAAGTAGGCAAACAATCAGATAATTGTGTGCTACTTATTATCCTGACCTCTTTAAGCACAAGTCCTATAGTCCTTCTTTGGGAATAAATAATTAGGTGCATAAATTACTTTTATCTCTGAAACGTCATGTTGAGTTTAGCAATATTACAACCAACCCCCCAGGAAGCTTTCTGTTTGTCATAGTTTAATTTACTAAAGACTATTTTTAAAACATGAGAGAAAGGGTAAAATTCAAAGAGGAATTTGAACCCCAATCATTTTAAAACCACTTGAGTTTAAATATATTCAAGAGAAAAATCCATGTGTGAATTTTTTTTTTTTAAAGGTGTGTGTGGGTGGAGGAGGGCTACAGTGCTTCAAAATGTAAGCCTTAGATTTGAAGTGATGGAGGTGAGAAGTCAAGGAGTGAGAGAGGCTGGTCCTGAATCAAGGAGCTGTGACTGTCTGGACAGCCCCCCTGTCAGACAGTCACAGGGGCAGGCACTCTGAGGAGACTCCTGGAGGACCCTCCTTTGAGCTTCCCTGGGCTAAACTCTTCCTCAGACAGAGCAGGTGTTCAAGGAAGGCCAGCTTTGTTGGTTCTGAGCTGTGAGCACATTCTCTCAGCTCAATAGGCCTCAGTTTCTTCATTGTAAAATGGGGATAATAGTGCTATCTGTCTGAATATGGCTTTGAAGACTAAATGAGTTAAATGATTTTAAGATAAGCTTACTTGTTTAGCATAACATGTATTTCAATTTTTTTAGAAAGTCAGTTGTTAACGACCATGAAAGGGCTTTGGGAGGCAATCTGCAAGCTTTAATTTTTTCTTCTCATGCATTCAAACAAAATTTAAAAACTGTTTGAAATTAAACTCCAAAAATACTAGATATTTTATTTCCCGACAAGTTGTCTACAGAATTTCTTTTGATATGGCAATGGCTGAGAAAAGAATTCTTTCAAAGGTTTTGTAACTCAGATTCTCTCTGAGAGCACTTTTCTTGTTTACTTTCCATAGCCCCTTTGTTTATTGAAACCAGGGTATTCTTTGTTCCCCTGAATCTGTTGCAGTGTCCCTGCCATTCTGTGGTGTTGACCCCTGAGGGGGTTGGAATTTCCCAGCACAGAGTCTGCTGATATTGCGATGAAGCATAAGAGTGTGGGGCACCCATCAGCTGTGGCTGGCATTAGTCAGCAGGCACTTGTGTGCAGAGTAGTACCAATTCCAGCTTGCCCAAGCTACTGTAGTTGCTTTTCTTTTTCTTTTTTTTTTTTTTTTTTTTTTGCGCGATATGTGGGCCTCTCACTGTCGTGGCCTCTCCCGTTGCCGGACGCGCAAGCTCAGCGGCCATGGCTCACGGGCCCAGCCGCTCCGCGGCACGTGGGATCCTCCCGGACCGGGGCACGAACCCGTATCCCCTGCATCGGCAGGCGGACTCCCAACCACTACGCCACCAGGGAGGCCCAGTTGCTTTTCTTTTAAAAGCATCATCCTCTTTTTTTCTGTTCCTGTACCCAACCTAAAATTTCAGAAGCAAGCAGGGTGGTTGGTGGGGGTGGAGGGTTGGTGGGGAGTAAGAGGTAGCTAAACCTGACTGTCCCGGCTTGAAGTAAATGGCAGGAGTGACAGGCTTATACAATTTGATCCTAGCTGTTGCCTTCTGCTTACCAGCCTCTCAGGTGGAATTTGGTGGGGACCCCTCTGAACAGCCTTTCTGAGTCCTCACCTTCAGGGTACTCTAGATGCTAAACAAGTGTCTCCCATTCCCAATAGCGATACCTTTGATTCTTGCCCTTCACTGAGAGCCTTGGGCCTGGGATTGGCCACTTGGCTCTGAGCAAAGTCTGTAGCTCCGCATTTTTTCATTGAGCTGTTCTGAAGAGCAAGACTCTTAGCTGTTAAGAGTGAAGCTGGGGAGGCCTGCAGCAGGGGAGCATAGATTCCCTTGAGTATGAAATATGGTAGTGGTGGTATGGAAATGAGCAGTCCTTTGTGGAGGGGAGCTTTTGCACAGAACACATAGATGAACTGTAAAGAAGCCCCATTTCCCTTCCCTGGATTCTCTTCATAAGGAAAATTATAGTTAGCTGTATAGTGTCATCTGAATATTTCTCTTGGTTTTCGTTCTTGAAGGACTGCCACCAACTCCAGTCCAGCTGCTCTATCCCGTGTCCCGATTCAGCAATGTCAAATCCCTTCAGCACCTTTGCCGATTCCGAATCCGACAGCTCGTCCGGATAGATCACATCCCGGATCTCCCACTGCCTAAGTACAATGGGGTCTTTAGAGGTGGGGCAGGAATGGAGGGTTAGTTACAGTGTTAGTGAGGCCTGCAAGCTGAGTGTACAGGCAGAGCCTGGCAACTCACAGGCGTTGTCCTTTCACTTCTCCTGTCTTAGCACCTAACTTAGAAATGTCACATTACAGCCAGGAAGGAGGAAGGTGTGTGTGTGTGTTGGCTTCCCTGCAGACTCTGTGAAGGGTAGAGTGGAGGTGGTAAGAGGGAGGGAGACAGAACTATAATAAGTGAGAAAGTGGGAATTTTGTCAGGGCAACAAAGAGTCTTTGGTGTTGTCTCAACCATACAGGGATTGAAAAGAAGGGAGGGTTGAATAAAGGTGGTATTTCTTTTATAAGCTATGTATAACATTTTGTGTGTATCCCTCTTGTGTTATTCGTAGGCCTCTGATCTCTTATATCCGAAAGTTCTACTACTATGATCCTCAGGAAGAGGTATACCTGTCTCTAAAGGAAGCGCAGCTCATTTCCAAACAGAAGCAAGAGGTGTTGGAACCCTCCACGTAGCGAGGGGCCCCCTGCTGGTCACCACCAAGGGTATGCCTCCACTCTGCCTCACTGTCCAACCTAGTCTCCTCCTGGGCGGTTATCATGCACTGGGCTTCGTCCCTCTTCCTCTCACCCCATGCGTGTACCCTGATCCAGGCATCTGTCCAGAGAGTCGCCACATTTGATCATGGAGTCCCAGGGAGGCACATACCCGAATTGGGAGAAGAGCAGATAGACACAAGAGGCTTAAAGAGTATTTGCCAAGCAACAAGCAAGTTAATCACTGAATATATATAAAGAAAACACACAAGTGCAGCTAAGTGTGCAGCCTTCTCTCCTACTTTGGCTGATCGCCCTGATATCGCACAAATGACATATAAAGCAGGAAAGCAAAGGGGAAGAAAACTTCATCAAAGGGAATGCAAAATGCCCTTAATTGTAATAGGCATGCACTTCACTGAGAGTTCCACTCTGCCCCACGGCTTGGAATATGGGGATGAGGAAAAAACAGCTTGCTCTTCTATTTAGAATTCCATCTGGGCCACTGAAAAGTAAATTGTTGAAAAGAATAAATGAATTAACTAAGGAATTCATTTATCTAAGAGGCTCTTCTCCCATTGCTACACTGAGTATTCATTTATTTTCCCATAAAATATCTTGGAGTACTGGTTTGCACATATGAATTTTAATTAGTCTTCTTGGGAATTCCCTGGCGGTCCAGTGGTTAGGACTCCGCGCTTTCAGTGCCAAGGGCGTGGGTTCGATCTCTGGTCAGGGAACTAAGATCCCACGTGCCTCAGGGCTCGGCCAAAAAAAAAAAAAAAGTCTTCTTAAATTGCACTAATGTGAACATTGAAAGGTAGAGGGGAGTAGGGAACAAAATTGCTAGAGAATGGTGATTTTGGTAGTGTGGGTTATGTGCAAGATCTCACATTCTAGTGATCTACTGCTGGGATGCAGAGACCACCCCCAACCCCTTTTACTGAGGAGTGTCCTTTTTTTAAAAAAAAAATTAATTAATTAATTTGGCTGTGTTAGGTCTTAGTTGTGGCACGCGAGATCTTTCGTTGCGGCGCTCGGGCTTCTCTCTAGTTGTGGTGCATGGGCTTCTCTCTAATTGCAGCACGCCAGCTCTCTAGTTGTAGTGCACAGGCTTAGTTTCCCCGCAGCATGTGGGATCTTAGTTCCCTGACCAGGGATCGAACCCGCGTCCCCTGCATTGGAAGGTAGATTCTTAACCACTGGACCACCAGGGAAGTCCCGAGTGTCCTTTTTTTTTTTTTTTTTTTTAATTTTATTTATTTATTTATTTATGGCTCCGTTGGGTCTTTGTTGCTGTGTGCGGGCTTTCTCTAGTTGCGGCGAGCGGGGGCTGCTCTTCTTTGCGGAGCGCGGCCTTCTCATTGTTGTGGTTTCTCTTGTTGCGGAGCACGGGCTCTAGGCACGCGGGCTGTAGTAGCTGCAGCATGCAGCCTCAGTAGTTGTGGCTCATGGACTCTAGAGCGCAGGCTCAGTAGTTGTGGTGCACGGGCTTAGTTGCTCCGCGTCATGTGGGATCTTCCCAGACCAGCGCTTGAACCCGTGTCCCCTGCATTGGCAGGCAGATTCTTAACCACTGTGCCACCAGGGAAAACCCTGAGTGTCCTTTTTAAGCACTGAATTCTTCTGCTTCTCTTCTAACCTCCTCTGTTCCCATTCCCAACCCCCATACAAAACAAACTAAGGGGAATAACCCACAGGAGTGACAGCCTTAGAGTGAAAAGTGGGCTTTAATTCTCCCCACCCTCTCAGTTCTCTTCATAATGGGAGAAAATGACAACTGGTGTTTTTGTCCTATGGGTTTTTTTGTGGCTCAGGTGAACCCAGCTGTGTGTCTCCTCTTGGCTCTGGTGGTCCCTGATCCTGTGCTACTGCAGGGGAGAGCATGTGAGCTAGGTTTAGCAAGGAGAGAAGGAATGAAGAAGAGAGATCAAGAAATGGTATCTCCAGGAGGCTGCAGGAGTTTTAACTTAAAGGATCTTGGGCTGGATGTACAGTTTCTTTGTCATGTCTTCAGTTACAGGCATACCTTGGAGATACCTTGGGTTCATTTCCAGACCACTGCAAGAGAGCAAATATCGCAATAAAGCAAGTCACATGATTTTTTTGGTTTCCCAGAGCATATAAAAGTTTTATCTATACTATACTGTAGTCTGCTAAGTGTGCACTAACATTATGTCTAAAAAAATCTACATAACTTAATTTTAAAATATTGCTAAAAAATGCTAACCATCATCTGATGATGTGGGATTGCCACAAACCTTCAATTTGTAAAAACGCAGTATCTGTGAAGTGCAGTGAAGCAAAACAAGTTAAACGAGGTGTGACTGTATCCGCGAGCTGTAGGCCCTTGGAAGTGTCTCCTAAAACATCTTAGTGCTCTAATGTCTAGGAGGGTTTCTCTGCTTGGTGGCTTTGCATTGATTAGGGTGGGGAACTAGGGGGGCCCACCTACGCAACTGCGCTGTTGAGGAGTAATTGGGACCCTTCAGTTAGAGCACCGTTTCTGTGGGTGCTGTGCCTTAGGAGGGGCCCCCACGAACACAAGCACATTCAGAGAAAGGTTCAGGATGGTGGGGGGCTCCACACTTCATCGTGTGGGGAATAAATGATTATCATGGACCAGAGAAGTTTTAGGGTACGAGGGGCTTGGTGACCAAAACAAGTATTTGATGGATTTTCCTAAGGAAGAGTGATTAAACTTATTCTGTGTGGTTCCAGGGGGCAGGGGAAGGACCACAGTATAAGTTTTAAACAGATTTCAGTCCGACTTTAGAAGAAGCTTTTTAACAGGTGCAAATATGGAATGGTTTTCCACAGGAGTTAGTGAGTTCCCCACCACTTGTTTATTCATTCAGCAGACATCTATAAAGTAGCCAGTGTGAATTGGGAAGAGGGTGCTGAGCAAGATAGTCAAAGGCCCTGTTCTCACAGAGCTGCAGTTCTTGTAGGGAGAGACAAACAGCCACATGTAAGTAAGTGAATAGGTTAATTTCAGTTGACTGTACATGTTATGAGGAAAATAAAACTGGGTGAAGTTTAGTGGTTAATGGTAGCATACTACTCAAGTTTGAATGATCAGGGAAGCCTCCTGTGAGGACGTGACGTTTCAGCTGAGATTTGAATATCAAGGAGTTAACCGTGAGAGGATCTTGGAAGCAGGCATTCTAGGCAGGGGATCCTATAAGTACAAAGGCCCTGATATGATCAGGTATAGGCTGGGGCTAACCATTTGCCACAAGTGTTGGGGGCAGTCACGTATTGGCAAAGGATTGCACTGAACTCCCGGGGCCTCTTTTTGCTGTGACACTGGGATTGTTGCTTGTAGCAAAGAATAAGCATCATGCTGTACTTGCTCCTAGGACCCCTTGAAAAAGGGAAGTAACACTTCCCAAGGGAAAGGACTTTCAGGTGTGAGATTCGGCTGTTATGATTTCTTGTCGGTCAGGCTGGTTTTAATTTCAGAGTTCCGAGTGGGCCACTTGGTCTGTGTGTGCTCTTACCTGGAGAATTTTTTGCCGGGGTACTTGAGGTTAGGGCGCAGGGTAACAGCTGGAACAGTGCCCTTCTTAAATCAGAAGGTAGAAGCTGCACTGGCCTTTGTGATTATGTGTCAGCCCTCTTCAATAGCCAGAAGCCACGGGGCCTACAGCTGTTTCTAGCTTGGCTCACCAGGGCTTACTCCAGGGACTCAGTTCTTTTTTCAGTGCCTAGAGCAGATGGGCCTTAGGGAAAGTGTGTGGAAAATGAAGGGGAATGGGAAAGAGAGAAGGGAGGCAGTGTGTAGGACATCTTTATTAGTCATTTTAGGACCTTTTTTTGGCGACCAGGTTGTAGGCTGCTCAGGTCCCCATGACAAAGGCCACTGCTGCCTCCCCAGCCAGCTGCAGTGTTTGTGGAAGCACTTGGTTCTCCAGGCCCCATTCTCCCTTTGAGCTGTACTTGTCCACCTCCAGAGGCTGTTCTTTCACTCCATTTTGGTTCCACTCTATTGAGCCACTCTAATTATTCCCCTTTTTTACCTAGGCATTTGGTTGCCAAGCTCCAGTTTCGAAGAACCAAATGAAGCTACCATGAAAACGGGAGTGAAGAAAACAAGAGGAGTAGGAAGGGTTAGGATCCTCTGTGCAAAGATTTTGGTTCCCCTCGCCGCCCTGGGCCTTGGATGAAGCACACGACCAGACTCTCTGAGTGGGGCTCCACCTTGTCACATCCAGCCCTGTGCTACTGGAACTGGATGAACTCCTTGGAAAACTGGAAGAAGTCTCAACACTGTTCCTTTTTCAGAAGTTTTGTTCTGGATATTTGCATTTCTCAGTATGGAAAACTCACCCTAAAGGCAGCTGGGGTCTGTGCGCATTGGATTGGAAGTGGTGCCGAGGGTGAGCAGATCCAAAGGAGAGAGGAGGGGAGGAGAGGGGATTGCCAGTGAGGGTCATTCGGGCGGTGCCAAAGGCAGAATTCGGGTCTCCACCATTGACCTTGAAGAAGGGAAAAGGAGGAGTCAGAAGTGCAAATCAAGTCGGGGGTTTCTGAGGGCTGAGAATCTGCTTCTCTGTAGGCATATGGGTAGCTTCAGCAGG